CTGCTGAGGCAATTCTTGCCTCCTTTCTTCACAGGTGCAGAAGGCTTGGAATTGGCACAGATCTATAGCAAGAGTGAGAGCATGATATGAGGAATCAACCAACCTCTGAGGATGGAACCAACCCCCACCCCTAATGTCAATGTTTTTATTCTGAGGAGGGAGAAATAATAGAGCCTGAGGAATAAGAGTTTCTGTAGGCCCCAAGAAAAAATAAATACATTCCAGTTTTCTGTGCAGCACTATATCACACATTCTAAGTATTCCTCTACTCTGTCTAGGCTCTGGTATTATCTTCATCGTTATTGTATCTGGACATCTCACAAAGCCCCTCTGAAGGAGAGAAGTATTATTTTTATTTAAAAAATGGGGAATTAAGGCACAGGATAGATTAGCGACTTGATTGAAAAAGCACCAAAACTATTATCCTCCCCGCCCACCCACACACACATTTAGGTGATGTGTAAATCTGAGGCTTCCACATAGTTCAGGGTAATAGGAGTAACACTTAGGTCTCTCTATGTAGGGTTAGAGCAGAAGCTCCTAATCCTTTTTTTTATTATTATTATGTACCCCTTCCAGATCAACTAGCTGCCTGCATACCCCTAGTGGGACCACCAGCAGGATCTGGGGCACTGCTTATCTGACCCACTGGGGAAAAAGGTTGAGCAGCCCTGTGCTAAGGGTGTAGGGCTTTATTATTCAGTTTTAGATTGAATAAAGAACAACTATAGCTTCATTGGCATGAGTTAAATATAATCTGCAGAGCTGGGAAATAGGAACTGCATTGCCAGGAGTTGCTAAAAGACAACAGGATTGCAGGAGAAAGTCTATCTTGATTAGTGGAACAGCAAGATCATTAAAAAAGAGAAAGGGTCATTAATGCCTATGGAATGGAAAGTTTAGAAGGAATCAGTTAGGTTTTAATGGTCTGTAAATACAATTGATGCTCTCACTGCTGCCTGAACAGAAATACTTCTGCCACTGCCAGAGGCAGTTGGTTTTAATATTTGGATGAAGCAGGAATTAATGGTAGGGTACAACTGCACCAGTGAACCCTAGCTGTATCCACCCCATGGGGCATGAGGGGGTAGAAGAATGCACCATTATATTGGCTGATTGAATACAAGCACCTTCCCTGTACATAAATGATTGTTAGATTTATTGAACTGCTTCTAGTTCCGTATCACACAAATGTAATATTCACAAAATTCACACAATCTGGCCCTTATGGAAAGTGCCATGTGATTTCCTTTTGACCGAAATCACAGTATAAAAATAAGATGCAGGAACCTGCCACAGGAAAGAGAAAATTTTCAATGTAATTAAAAAGTACTTAATAGCTGACAGATGCAGCAGCTAGTTGTAAAATACAAATGTTAAAACTACAATTTCTTATCTGTTACAAATGTGAAGTGTGTCTCCTCTTACTTTCTCCCTTCCCTCCTACCAGCAAAGAAAGAAATATATAGAAAAAAAAAGTTCAAAGAAGCAACTAACCCTGCACTGAAGAACACTAATAGCCACATCCTATAGAAGGTAGCTTGGAGGTAGTTGAGAGCCCAGGAAAAAAAAAAAAAGTTCTGCATTGATTACCTTAATATTGAGGGTAATAGTAGGTAACCATCAGTCCCCTGGATGATAGTGTATGTGTAAGAAGTCTAGTCAGGTGCCTGACCCATTTGTTTGTATGGAGTCCAGCGACCATCACACCAAGACCTTTTATGTGTACACCTAAGTGAGAGTATGGAAGAGTGGAGGCTGGCCAACATCAACCACCTCCACTTTAGACCATTGAGACAGTATCCAAAGGCCACACCAAATCCAGACCTTCAGTGCCTTGATGATTGTAGCTTCTGCCAAAAAGCAACACATAAGAACTGCTGCTGACTGCCTAATACGTCAGTGAGGGCATATTCCTGTCAGGGTGGTGTCCCTTAGCCTTTCTTCAACCAAAAAGCACCCACAGTGGAGGCTAGGGTTTTGAGGTGCCCTATACTTGCCTTGCCCTGAAGGGTGCAAAACTGATATTTCATAGGAGATACCTTCCCAGAAGTAGCCCCACAACTTGCTAGCACACCCTCCAGTCACGTGTAGTTTATGGATATAACCAGGACTAGTTTAGAGTATTAAATGCACGCCAAAAGCTAAGCGTAGGTACAATAATTCTGTCCAATAACCTGGCATGCATGTCTCATACTACAGATAACAAACAGTTGGAAATATTCTTCCTGTCAAAACAAAACTTCAAAAAAAAAGGTGGGGGGGTTGTTTTACTTTGAATGTCCTGGCATGAATGAATTGTTCTTATGTGAACTCAGAAATAGTTACAAAAGCAATACAAACCTTGGGAGAATGTTAAAATCATCTTATATTATGCCTACATTTCTTAAAAGTATTCTGATTTTAGTACTCTGTCTTTGGGCATGATACAGGTATAAAGCAAACACAAGCATGAGAAGTTGAGTAATGTTCGAATCTGTGGGGGGGGGGGGTTAAAGCATCTTTAATGTATCTTTATATCAATGCCTTGCCTAGTTCTAAGAAACAGGCAAAAAGATGTGCTGAAAGGAAGCATATTTTCTATGAAAACAAACCACCATAACACATGCGGAACTCATCCATTTTTGCTATCCAAAGACGTGTAAACCATCAGCCACAATCACCACATTTTATGTAGTTTTACATTAAGAATTCTGTATGCAAAATTGTGAATTTCTTAAGTGAAATCCTAGGTACAAAGCAGCCAACATATGCTCAAGGAGAGCTGGGAAGAGAAGGAAGGTCTGTGAAAGGAAACTATATATGTAGTGATTTAAAACAGATACAGTTTGGTTTTGGATATGCCTACATCCTAAATCCTGGAATCTAGGGGCACAGATAGAAGTGAGAATTTCCTCCTGATCTGGCCACAGAAAGTGGCTTATAGCCATGACCAACTACAAGTGCATGGCTGCAGACAACTTCAAAAATGGCCAATCAGGTGAAAATCTGCACCTTCATTGCATGACATTTCAAAACAGAGCAATTTCTACAACTTCTGTCTGTACTGCCTGCCAGCCTCCAGCTGTTTTCAGAATGGGAGGGGGAAAGGGAGTGGAGGGAATTCAGTCTGGGAGTTTTTGAGTCCCCACTCCAGAGTGGGGCAGGTGTATTGGAGTCCTCACCCCAGGTGGGGGGGGGGGCGTGGGGGGGCTTCAATTCACCCATTCAACCCTTCAACACAGGTTAGGGAACCCCTAGTACAAGCTTCTTCTGCTTCCTTTCCCCACTCGCATTCTGAAAACTTCAATTCCTAAAATGTGCATCCTTTTCTTTAGGCACCTTTTCTTTAGGCACCTTTGAGACCAAATTGTATCTGACTTTTAAAGATATTTAGTCAGCATTAATGGACGCGCATGTTGTTCATGAATTGTTCACAATCCAATATTGTTTTCTTTGCCTGTATTAAATATGCAGATGAATATTTTTCAAACTATGAATGACTTGCAAATGGCTCACATCCAAGATTGCACATTTGTTTTTTGGTCATTTAAGTCACTTGGTCTTCTTTTGCTCTCTTTCCTAACACTGAATGACTAAAACATTTTCAAACAAAAATTATTTAAAAACCTAATAAATATCTCATATGATATTTGGCCAAATTATTTAATTTGATATCAATGTGGAAGTTCAGGAATATCCACATAGTTGTGATTAATAACTAAGATGACCATACAAATAGTATCAAACTAATAGTTGGAAATTAGTTTCTGAATCATCATAGGATCAGAGGAAAATCAGGCTGGAAGGGACCTCAGGAGGTCATCTAGTCCAGCCCAATGTTCAAGGCAGGATCATCCCTGATTTAATTGAGTGCCTATCTAATCTGTTTTTGAAAATTTTCAGGGGAAGAGATTCCACAACTTCTCTAGGTAGTCTATTCCAGTGCTTTACCATCCTTTGTTCCAAGGATTGTTTCTATATTTCATCCAATGACTGTTCAATGAAAACTGCATAATCAGTCCTCGGAAAAACCTCCACTCCACTATTGCTTTTAGCTGTCTGGTTTGATAATCCCATATTGTGTTTGGAAAAATAGTCTAACCTGTTTGATAAGTTTGTACAAAGTATCTGCACTCAGTCTTAGTCTCTTCTTATTCTACATAGTCAACAAAATCCTTTGTATTCCCTGGGTTTAGATTCAGGAATGAATTTGCAATTTTTTTCAACATTTGATTGGTTCTAAAGACTGTCTATTCAGCTAGATCATCCCCACTGCTACATTATACACTTGCTTCTTAAGTGTAAGTGTTCTTATGGGCAAAGTCCCAGGGGACTGGAAAAGGGCCAATGTAGTCCCCATTTTCAAAAAGGGGAGGAAGGAGGACCTGGGCAACTATAGGCCAGTCAGTCTCACCTCCATCCTTGGCAAAATCTTTGAAAAAATTATCAAGGTTCACATTTGCGAGAGCCCGGCAGGACAAATTATGCTGAGGGGAAACCAGCACGGGTTCGTAGCAGGCAGATTCTTTGAAAAAATTATCAAGGCTCACATTTGCGAGAGCCCAGCAGGACAAATTATGCTGAGGGGAAACCAGCACGGGTTGGTAGCAGGCAGATCGTGCCTGACTAATCTAGTCTCTTTTTATGACCAGGTTACAAAACGCCTGGACACAGGAGGAGGGGTGGATGTCGTATACTTAGACTTCAGGAAGGCCTTTGATACGGTATCCCACCCCATACTGGTGAACAAGTTAAGAGGCTGTGACTTGGATGACTACACAGTCCGGTGGGTGGCGAATTGGCTAGAGGGTCGCACCCAGAGAGTTGTACTTTGTCCAAGTTTTCAGATGACACAAAGCTATGGGGAGAAGTGGACATGCCAGAGGGCAGGGAACAGCTGCAAGCAGACCTGGACAGGTTGGACAAGTGGGCAGAAAACAACAGAATGCAGTTCAACAAGGAGAAATGCAAAGTGCTGCACCTAGGGAGGAAAAATGTCCAGCACACCTACAGCCTAGGGAATGACCTGCTGGGTGGCACGGAAGTGGAAAGGGATCTTGGAGTCCTAGTACACTCCAAGATGAACATGAGTCGGCAGTGTGACGAAGCCATCAAAAAAGCCAATGGCACTTTATCGTGCATCAGCAGATGCATGACGAATAGGTCCAAGGAGGTGATACTTCCCCTCTATCGGGCGCTGGTCAGACCGCAGTTGGAGTACTGCGTGCAATTCTGGGCGCCGCACTTCAAGAGGGATGCG